GTGATCACTCAGGCAGGCATCGAGGTGGATCCTTCTAAGGTTTCAGCCGTTCAGAATTGGTCGACACCGAGGAGTCCGTCCGAGGTTCGCAGTTTTCTCGGTTTAGCTGGCTACTACCGCAGGTTTATCGAGGGCTTCTCTAAGATCGCCCTCCCTCTTTCCCAGCTGACGAGGAAGTCTGTGAAGTTCGAATGGACTAACAGATGTGAGGCGAGCTTTCAGGAGCTCAAGAGGAGACTAACTACAGCACCGGTGTTGACTATCCCCGATCCTTCTCGGAGTTTCACTATCTTCAGCGATGCTTCGAGACAGGGCTTGGGATGTGTCCTTATGCAGGACGGACGGGTCGTTGCATATGCTTCACGTCAGCTTAAGCCTCATGAGCAGAACTATCCTATGCACGACTTGGAGTTAGCAGCAGTCGTTCACGCTCTGAAGATCTGGCGACATTATCTTTATGGCGGACGCTGCAAAATATTCACAGACCATAAGAGCCTGCAGTACATCTTCACGCAGAAGGAGCTTAATATGAGGCAGCGCCGTTGGCTTGAGCTTGTCAAGGATTATGATTGTTCTATCCAATACCATCCGGGAAAGGCGAACGTCGTTGCGGATGCCCTAAGCCGAAAGGTGAAGGGTGACTTGACATACGTCATTACGCAGCAGAGTCCGTTGATTCATGAGTTTGCCCGGATGCAGCTTCAGGCGATCGATGCACTTCCCATAGCTGTCTCGGGGAGTATCAGTGCCAGTGTCAGTGCTATGCAGCTTCAGCCGACACTGAGAGAAAGAATCCGGCGAGAGCAGGCTTCTGACGAGTTTGTTCGTGTCATGGAGGCCAGGGTTCGCGCCGAAGGTGTCCAGGATTTTCAGCTAGGCGCCGATGGTGCCTTGGAGTTCAGAGGCAGGATCGTGGTCCCGAAGGTCGAGGCATTGCGGAAGGAGATTCTATCAGAGGCACATACCGCACCTTACTTGGCCCATCCCGGGAGCACGAAGATGTATCACGACCTGAAAGGGTCGTTCTGGTGGCGAGGCCTAAAGAAAGACGTCGCCGAGTTCGTCAGAAGGTGTCTTACCTGTCAGCAAGTCAAAGCCGAGCATCAGAGTCCGATCGGCCTACTGCAGCCACTGCCGATTCCGAGGTGGAAGTGGGAGGAAGTCACTATGGATTTCGTTACGGGATTGCCGAGGTCGTCTGAACATCACGATGCTATCTGGGTCGTGGTCGACAGATTGAATAAGGTCGCGCATTTCTTACCCGTTTC